CACACACACACACACACACACACACACACACACACACACACACACACACACACACACACACACAAACACACACACACACACTTTTTATATCCTTATGGGGCCCGTCCATTGACTTCCATTCAGTTTTTGGAAATTTTATATCCTAACCCTGACCACCAACCCTAAGGCTAACCTCACAGGTACCTACATGACCCTAAAACTAACCTAAACTCAATTCACACCTTGGTCCTAAACACAACCCCCACAACCAAAATCAGCCTCCGAAGTTGTGGGGCCCGAGGAGCACCCAGTCCCCACGAGGCTGCATTTTCCTTAAAATTGGGCCCCACGATGTAGGAAAAGCAAGGCCACACACACACACACACACACACACACACACACACACACACACACACACAGACACACACACACACACACACACACACACAACCATAAACGTTAGATAAATGAGCCTTCTTTAACTGGATTTATAGAGACAGACAGGAAGGACTGTGAAGTAATGAATCATGTTACATCTTTTCACAATGAATACCCTAACCAATGCATGAACTCAGAAATGCGTCCCCTGATGGTTGTTTTCACACTGTCAGGATGTCTTTGTCAGTGTGAGGCTCATAAATATTAATAATAATAATAAAATATCCCTTTTTGAAATCACCGCTGTCCCAAACAGATTTACTCCAAACTACAACCAAACCAGTCCTTCAGAGAGGAAAAGGAAATGGGATCACTTTAAAAAAAATTTAAATGTAATGAATATTAAAGGCACATTTTTGCCACTTTCATGTTTATGCCTTTGAGCAAAACTACTTCCTTATTCTTCATCTTTCCTTCGCCTGCGATTGGTCCCTGAATGGAGCTGTTGCCATGGAGATGTGTTGCCAGGTTTCAGACGGTGAGGCTGAATGGGTTAATTGGAGCATTTGCAACCTTCCAGATGGTAGTAAGCAACTCCCCCACCCCCACTATCCATCCCCCACAGGTCTCCAGGGAACTCCTCATAGAGAGAAAAACCTCTCCTGTTTGGTATTTGCCTCCTCACCCGTCCAACCAGGAGCTGCTTTCAGAACCCCGCCTGGAGGAAAACTGGATCTGCTCCTTTAGCTCTGCCTGAATCAGAGGATCGGTTTCTTTGGCACTGACTAAAAGAGAAATGTGGTGTCCTCTCATTTTCAGCCCACCACACCAAAAAAAATACACATTTCTTATTCTACCTAATGTTCTCTGTTCTCCATCGTTGACAGAGCAGAACTCACATTGTCTTGTTTTCGCAGATATTTGGTTGATTTTGAAGCTGTCAGAAAGCTGAAGAGTAAACACAGAGGGCTCGATTTATCAACCATTAGTATGTATAAAATCACGTGCAAACTTGATAGTGCACACAAAGCCGATTTATTGATGACCTGCAGCGAGGACTGTGTCTGTCAGATGAGCCTTCATCAATATACAGATGATGATGATTACCAGATCATTCAATATACAGGGAGGAGGAAATGCAGATACAATCATTTTACACCTGCAGTGAGATTTATCGAAACTTGAAACTGGCTGCCAGGATTTCCCATATTTTCAGTCAAATTGAAGTGTCCCGTATGGGATGCTCTTCCCATATTCTGAGCGCAGCCTGCAGTCAGAGCTGTCATGTTACAGCAGGCAGGTAGGCATTTATATAGCGCCCCAAGCTGGAGGGGGACACAGAGGGATGAAACTGTAGTGGCCAAATGCAATGACCATATGAAACACTGATGCTACATTCACACCGAATGTGTTTTGAGCATCTAAAATGCACCCAATGCCTCAAGTTGGACATGTTATGTTCAGACCGGGACACAAACTAGACGTGCGTCTGAAGAGGGAGGAGCATCTTAGTTTTTTCCTGTCTGTCTTTAATGGTGGACGAAATAAAGATAAAATAAAGAAAACTGCATTGCTTTATTTATTGAGAGCAAGTGAACATTGCGCACACCAGATAATTAATTCACCAGATAAATTAGAGGCAGTCTGATCGGTGGGTTTCACACTCCAGGAGCTGTGAGCTGACAAACTATTTTTTTGTCCCAAGCCCAGTTTAACATCATGGTCAGTTTAACAAGCTGCTTGACCCACATCGGTGCTGATATCTCCAGCCAGAACACCAACTGCAGACGGTCAATTTCAGCTAAAGATCTCCTGTCCGTCTGTTTAGGTRAGTGGGCAACATTCAGGAAACAGTCATGTGGAAAAATGCAACGCTACAGAGTCTCTCTGATTGGTTGACGCGGCACGTCGAGCAGCAAAAGTTCAGTTGTTTTTAACTCGAGCGTCGGCTGCTTTGGACGCGCCGCTTGCACAGAAAACACTCAACCGCACCTATCGCTTCTTTGCACACCTTGCTAGACAGCCTAGACGCATTGCGAGACCCCTAGACACGTGTCCTCCATAGACTTTGCATGCAAAGTGGCCGCTCCTGCAGCTCAAAACGTGTTTGGTGTGAACGTAGCATGAGGGCATTGAAATACGTCATACTCGCACTCCACCCTTAAGGGGCCCTTTGCCTGCCAACAGCAGCATGTAGCACCTTCATTACCTTGTTTACTGAGATTCAGCACATGCTATTTGTTAGCATGTTGATCCCAAAGTCTTATCTTACATGCTTGTTTATATAAATGTTTATATTTAAACCTGCCACAATTATTTTTTGAAGTGTTATATGCAGTCTTCTCCTACAACCTACGGGCCCTGAGACTTAAATTAGCAAGATAAAGTCTCTTGGGGAGCCAGCCAGGCCACCCAAAAACACCACCTAACGACCCCACCCCAACTCCTCTTTGCCCCTCCAACCACTTTTGTATGTACCAATTATGTTACATACTGTACATGTACTGGTCTCTGCCATGCATTGCTTCTAAATATTCTCTAAAAAAATTAGATAAAAAGGTAATTTAGAAAAGATAAAATCTTAAAGAACAGAAAAATCCAAGCTTTATTTTCAAAGAAAAGTTGTGTGTGATTGAATGAATCTGGAACTCAGCTTGGGCTAAAGGATGCACTCATCAACATGTCCATGTATGGTCCAACAGTAGTGAAAACTTCTTTAAGTAAATGAGATGCTGTTTAACCTGTTAATCTGTGGGCCTAGCCCTAACCCAAATTAAATTATTGCTCTTGAACCCTTTGGAGTAAATTCACAAGCCTAGTCTCTATGTAAAGCTATCAATCTGAATTTTTTACTTCAGCAGTCATCATTTTTGTAACTGTAACAAGTATTCAGTTTTCGAAGTTAGAATACACTTAACCATTAACTTTTTTTAAATTTCCAAAACTGCATGTAGAATAAAAAGTAACTTGATTGGCTACACAGCTGTGGTGTCAGAATGAAGCTCAGAGCTGATTGGCTGATTGTAGTCAATCAACCACCTGTACCACAGACAGGTGGGACATGAGGGTCTTGCCACACATTTTGTGCTCTGGAGAGTTTATAGATGAACCCAGCTGGTCAAAAGAGGTGTCAATCGAAAGAAGATAATCAATCAAAAAAATTTGAACAGCCTATTGTGCAAATTCAAAGTTCCTGATCCTGGTAGCTATAAACAGGGAGATAATAACCTTAAACTGGGACTATACCGTGGGTGGTACATTGATGGTGGAGGGCCAAAAGAACAGGTTTTAGGCCTAAGATGTACAGCTGAGAATTAAGGATGCACAGAGGGGTCAACAGCACCGAAAGAGGATCAAGATCAAATAAGTTCAGTTTACAAAAAGTTCTATTTTGTTGGATTTTAATTGTGTATTTATATATTACAAAGGGTATCCATTATCATAGAACCGAATGCATTAGTGAGATTTTAACAAGTATTATTAATATATAAAATATATAAGCACTTTGGCTGACAGTGGATTTGAAAAGATTCAACAATTCGAAAAAAACAATTTTAGCTTTCTTTTTGTTTTGGGATATTTCAATTAACAGTCTGAATTAAGTTAATAATTAATTAATTAATTAATTAATTAATTAATTAATTAATTAAGACTTCTGAAGACATTTGAATCTTTTTTGTGCAAAACAGCTGCTAAAACAACAACAAAAAATAAAGACAAACAATGGATGTAAAGTCATCACCTAGTGGGCATATAGCAGCATATTTTTCATACAGACCATCCCTCCTATTAGATAAATCAGCGTATACTGTAGTCCATTTAAATCTAATTCAAGCTCAGAGTTCAGTACAGAAACTCTGTTTTAAAATAATTAGAATATATTATTATTATTTACATGAAATAGRTCAGCCACACTATAATAATTCTTATTTTGAAACATTTATCAAGTGAAGTTGAAACCTAAATCTATTTTAAGCATTGCTTTCTGTGCAAAATGATGCAGTGTTTTTACAGTCCTGAAGCGTAGTTCATGAGTGACACCTGGTGGCAGCTGCACTGATTACATGGATGCACCTCTAAGTGTGAAAGACAAGGTAGGTGAAGTTCTCCTGTTTGGATGTGACGGTGAAGTTCTCCTGTTTGGGTGTGATGTTGAAATTGTAGTGTCCGATACGGTTCCTTTGGCAGTAGAACAGGCAGCCAAATCCAAAGACGAAGAGGAGGGACAGGCCGACTCCAAGACAGGAGAAGCCAACTATTTGCAGTGTGTTTAGCTTCTCGTCCAGGGTCTCTGCAGGAATTTATACATCAGGTCCAAACAATGAAGGGTCGCAATGAAAACAAGAGGAAAATTATAAAATAACTATCAGAGCAGAAATACAGAGGAAAAYTGTACAATATTCTAACAAAATATTCACAGTGAGTTGCAAAAGTATAAACCATTTGGCATTTATCATGGTAACCTGAAATCCTTGTATTTTAATTTATATGTGCTAACTAGCACTTTGTACAAAATATATTTTAATGTTAAACAAACAAGAAATGTGTAACTACTGTGTCCAACAATCAAGTCAGAGATCTCAGTTGATCTGAGGTCTGGGCTTTGACTGGACCATCCCAGCACCTTCCCTATTCTCCTAAACCACCAGAGTTGGTGCTCTAATAGWATAGGTTAGAGGTCAAAAGGTTCTGGTTATTTCACTGTTGGAAGATGATTCTTTGTCCCGGTCCCAAATCTGGAAGACTTAAATTGGTTTRCCTGAATAATTATACACGAAGCAAAAGTCATAGACTTGTACTGTTTATTTTTTTATTTTTTTATTAATTAATTTTTTTTCATTGATTTTTGGGCAACCGTAGCACAGAAACGGCTGCAATGATTAACATGAAATTTGGTAGGAATGTAGATGTGCCCGACCTACACTGTGCCGGGTTTTACCATAAACCCCATATTTGAGGAGGGGGCTCCATCTGAAAAGTGGGTGTCTGGACATACAAAAATGTTTAACTCAAAAACTATTCAACATAGGAGCTTCAGATTTTATTTATTTATTTATTTTTAAGTTATGACGAGTTTCTATCCATCGGGCCCACCAATGAGCCCCGCCCAACCACTCACCCACCCTACTGAACCCCCACCCAAAGCTATAGATCTGTTCTGGTGTTCTTGTGGCTATGCAGTGTCTATTTTATTTCATATTTTGATCCATTCATATTTCCTCCATCCCGACCAGTTTCCCAGTCTCTGCTGATAGGAAACATCCTCACAGCATGATGCTGCCACCTCCATCCTTCACCATTAGGATGGTGTTCTCAGCATGGTGATATGCATTACGTTGGACCAGACAAGGTGTTTGTCTTTGATGGTCTAAAACAGTGGTTCCCAACCTTTTTAGACTTGTAAACCCCCCTGAGCCATTTTGTCATACCATTGGTACCCCTTCAGTCAAACGTAATGATGATTCTCCAAAACTATAATGGACTACAACTGGTTATTAAATGAAAATTATTTATTTAACCCCCTTGAATATTTAGTTTACAGGCTTTTTATTTTTAAGCATACAAATAAAAATGTTGCCTTGAAAGGGAATAAGTAATTGATTGCATAATCTCTTTTGTGGAAATCATAGGGCCCTACAAATTTTAGTCTTATTATTATTATTTTTACACACCTGGYAAATTTTTTCTATGTACCCCCTGCAATAGGCTCACATTCCCCTGGTTGGGAATCACTGCTTCAGACAGTGTGAAGGGCTGAAGGAACTGTCAAAGGTCCTGAAAGTGCTGGAATGTTTTAGGACCTTGGACAGTGTGAAGGGCTGAAGGAACTGTAAAGGTCCTGAAAGTGCTGGAATATCTTAGGACCTTGGACAGTGTGAAGGACTGAAAGAACTGTCCATGGTCCTGAAAGTYCTGGAATGTTTCAGGACTTCAGACAGTGTGAAAGTGAAGAAATGTATTGGGGTTTGCTTACATACTGATTTTAATTACACTACACATGTTATATTCTTTTTATTAGGAGAAGAATAATATCTTTTATAATGTGATGTTTTGCTTGAATTGATGATTTTATGTAGATCCAAACCTGAACACATATTCAATACATAACTGAACTGTTGGTCTTCATTAGGTCAGAATATTGTGTGAAGACTCAYTGACTCAGACTTTGCCTGAAACTCTCAGACTGAAGAAGTCTCTTGGAGGAGAGACGAAAAGTTTCYTTAGAGAAGAACCCGTCCAGAAGACCGATACAATTTTTTTCTTTTTGATTTTTTTTACCTGGATTACTGAGATGCATCAGGACATTGTGTGAAGACATGGCTTGAGCAGTGTTAGGGAGCCATCCTGATGATGCAATAAAATGGGCGGAGTCATGTCCTGAAGATACTGTTACGTTGAAATGACTTCCGGAAACTGAGGCCTGAATGCAGACTGAGAATAAATTGCCTTCAGCCAGCGCGGTCTGTGTGTGGTGTTGTATGAACTCTTTTTAATCAATATCCATGTGTTGGTGCTGTTTCTGTTTGGCTCAAGCATATAAAGTGGTAAACGAACACGCTTAACTATTTTCTTTCAAACGGATGAAGGAACTGTCAAAGGTCCTGAAAGTGCTGGAATATTTCAGGACATGTTTCATTTTAGTCTCATTTGACCACAGCACCTTCTATTACAAGTTTAGAGAATCTCAGATATAACTTGCGGCAAAGTCCAGTGTTTTTTGAAACCCGGCTCTGTGCCATGTGTAGCATATATTATTGACTTTATTGGTATTCTAGGAGGCAGCACAARGGATCAGTGGTTAGTACCGGTGCCTCACAGTAAGAAGGTCCTGGAGTCTTTCTGAARGTTCCTCCCACCAGCCAAACACATGTACAATAGGTTGCCTTTAGGCCCAGGCCACCCTTGCAAAAAGACCTGGGATCTCAATGAGATTGGCATGGTAAATAAAAGTAATAAATAAATAAAAGTACTAAGGGGGTGAACACTTTTGCAAACCACCATATTACACGTTTTATAAATCCCTCCATATAAAATTACTCACCTTCATTTAACCTAAGTACTGGCTCAGATGAGCCAAAAGCTGTTCTGATTATGTTTGAACTCTGAGCTGCTCTTTGAAAACAGTCCTGCAAAAAAAAAAAAAAAGAGATAATAGATCTGCAAATGTTCAGACATGAAACAGAGCGTTGAAAGGATAAAGGATCAGATACTGTGACTTTCTGACTGGATTTAATGTTTGTGGAGAGGAAAGCACTCACAGGCACACAGGTATCTGATCCGATCTGCACACAGATATGGACCTGACAGTGCACATAGATGATATTCTCATTGACGAAGGAGAAAATTTTTACAGATAAACGTGAGACGGTGGAATTCCCGTTCGTCAACACTTTGGTGTAGCTGTTCATGGGACAACTGTGGAGACAGAGAAAAGAAGAATTAGCTTTAACCACATCTACTGTCTAAAATATACCTAAAGCATTCATTTGAAAAAAAATATTCTGTCTTCAGCTCAGATTATTCATTTTCACTCTCGTGGTAAAAATCTTAAGATTGCATTCAAGACAGTTTATTAAAAATGTCATGGTTGTCTAAAGGGATGTTTCTCCAGGATGTTTATGTTATGTTAGGTACAAGTAAGACTTCAGACTTTGGGGAGTCTGAAGCATAGCCAGCAGCAGAAGCATAAGGAGAAATCATTGTTTTGGTTCTGATAAGTCTCAGGGCCATGCACACTGACAGTGGCTCTGAGCAATGAGATGGAGAAGTTTTAGGTTTCATTATTTTTGGATATCAAGTGGTGGCCCGACAGCAAAGTACACTAACAGGTAAATGAATACTTTAAGCATATGGAGACAGTCGTGGTTCTGTAGCAGAAACACACCTGCTCTCCAAGAAGGTGTTGCTGTTGGTGTCTGCAGGGTTCTGGGTGGGAGTGGCCCAGCATTTGTTCATGATGACCTTCATTTGATCCGAGCTGCTGTTGAGTTTGACCTCGACCACCAGAGCCTGGCTGGGGGACAGGGTGAAGTTTTGGGGCAGTGGGGTCACCCCGTTCGTCAGCTGCACCATCACCTGGAAGGACCCTGAACTCGTGATGACGTCTTGGATTACGTCATACCTGGACATGAACAAACAGCTGTTACAGCTAGGAGGATGATGATGATGATGACGACGATGATGATGATGATGATGATGATGATGATGATGATGATGATGATGATGATGATGATGATGATGATGGAAGTGGAGACTGATAGTCATTTATGCCATAACTTAAGTTTGTAATTAGGTTACTGTGAGCAGAATATCTCAAGAATCACTGGTCTAATAATAATGAATGAAGAAGTAAATATTTATTGGATGTAAATCTGGAAAAATCTGRGAAACTGAGTTGAATTGACTGAATTATAGTAATGCCACAACAACATTTAGGTGAATATCTATAAAATTGACTGAGGGTGATCCCCAGCATCCAATTTAAGAGCTGACTGATTGTATGAGACATTTGTTTAAAATGTTGGTATTAACTGCTGGAGATAAATTTGTCTGTCAGTATCTCTATATCTCATGAGATATAGTTTGGATGTTTGGATCCAACAGTTCAAAATGGTAAGCACAGCTAACTGACCTCTGGGAACACAAAATTGTTTCAGTCAATGTATTGCATATATTGAACTAAAGGTTTGTGTAATTATATTTGGGAGTCATATCCAACACATACTTTGAGCACTACACTTTGCATGAAATTTCTTTACTGTGAACTGTTGAAGTGAACCCTATTTGTCTGTTAGCAAAATATCTCATGAATCTCTGGAGGGATTTTAGTAAAACCTTCTGAAAATAAATTTTTGTATGAACATCTACAACTAATTAAATTTTGGAGTTAATCCAGTTTTAAATGTCCACCACAGCTTATCAACATTACCCAACACAAAAGTGCTGTAACTCAGTTCGTGTTACAGAAATGGAGCTAAAATTTGCAGTAGTAGAAACACATGCTTTGAGCATTTCATCTTGTGATATCAGGAACATCATGACGATTTTAAGGTTTGACCAAAAAGGCTACAAATATGTAATTTCTCATCATAAAATGTTTTTAGTTCTAAACTCTGGCTTGAAAAGTGGTGATGTGTCCCCTMCTCAAGGACTGCTAGGCCTTTAGTTATTTAAGTCAATGATTCCCAACAAGGGGTACATGAGCATATTACAGGGGATCTGTGGAAAAAATTCCCAGGTGTGTAAAAAAATAAATAAAAATAGGACTGAGATATGTAGTTCCCTATGGTTTCTGCAATGCAGAAAATGCAGACAGAATCGTGGAATTAACACTAAATGAAATCCAGTGTAAAATGTGGAATCTCACAGAATTTGCTCATTTGGGTGAGTTTCTGACTTATTTTAAACAATACAATGTATTTTGGATGCTGTTGTTTTCTTTTCCTGCCATTACCTGGTTTGTTTATTTAATTACTTATTCACTTTCAAGGCAACATTTTTATCTTAATGTTTAATTTGAGTTGAAAAAAATAAAATGCCTGAGAATTAAACATTCTAAGGGGGTTAAATAAATAATTTTCATTTAATAATCAGTTGTAGTACTCTATAGTTTTGGAGAATCATCATTACGTTTGACTGAAGGTACTAGTGGTATGACAAAAACGGCTCAGGGGTAAACAAGTCTGAAAAGGTTGGGAACCACTGCTTTAAGTTATGTGACAATTTGTAAAAGTAAAATGACAGTTTGTCTTTTATTAAACAGATAAGTTAGCAAAGTTTGTCCAAAAGACTTGAAAAATAAGAAATTAAAGCAAAAACACAGAAAAATGTGTTTCGATAATCCAAAAGGTTATTTTTAGACAGTACTGAAAACCTTTTGTAATTATACTCACATTTTCAACTGCAGCAATAAACCTGAAGAGGGCGTAGTAGACAGCAGTTTCTGAACTGCAAAAATATACATTTCTTGATATGAAGTTTAATTATTTATCTCAAAGCAGCTGGAGAACCATTTGGATTCTTCAGGACTGTTTTGGCCAATAAAAACAAATAATGATCTAGGATTTTTTTAATGCATATCCCCTGCTGTCTTTCACACCAGTGTTCTTGACTGAAATCATCTTATGACAAGTAATGATTAAGTTGTCTCTGTTTTAGTCAAACCTTSAAAATGTGCAAATTCATGTGWTTAAGTTAAATCACACGAGATGTGTTGGCACTCAGAGAAAACAACAGGGATGACTATCAGCTACCACACAAACTGTAGCTGAATGTCTGTAAACTGAGTTGTAACAATTTTTAAGTCAGTAAACTGTGGCAGCCAACTTGAATGAAGTTGGTTCCAAATGGTAAACAATGAGATGTAAATAATGAATCTCATTTGAGAGTTGCACCAAAATCTGCTTTATTTATTCTTTTAACCAGGCAGAACATTAAGAACAAATTCTTATTTACAATGCTTGTCTGAGATATTTTGCTAACAGAGAGCACTGACTCCAACATGCCTAAGTTTTAAGCAAAGATGTTTTAGCAATGTGTAGCCCCTGGTGTGTGTTATCATTGACTCTCAGCTACTACCACAAAAAAAATTAGCACAAATCTGTACAATTGACTAAATAATAGTAATTTTTGTTTTGGTTAATGGTGATCACCTGTTATGGTCATCTTAATGTCTCCAAATGTTAATTATTTGTAGATGTGTTTCCAATGATTACTATAAGATTTGTCCAGTGCTTGTAATAATTTAACAAAGAGGGTTGACAACAGCTATTTCCAACATTTTTCTGTAAAAATATTGAATAATAGTGTTGTGGAGTGTAGGGAAGAGATATGCCATGATCAAAAATATTACTGCTCTGCCTTTGTCTTTGGTGGCAGGTAACAATAGAAGCAAAAGCTTTCATTACAATTGTGACAACAAGAGAAGCATACCCCATGGAGCCAAAGTTTGCAGAGATCAACATGCTCTTCAAATAGGTGCACATGATGGGGACTTCCAGCTGGATTCTGGGAACCTCCTCTGAACCAGTGGGTGAGGTGTAGGGATCCATGGAGTTGTACAGGATCACAGACGCTGTGTAGGTGGTTTCATTCTGGAAAGAAACAAACAAAACAAAACATTAGAATCAAGGTCTCACTTCTTTCAATTTTGTTCCAGAACAAAATGCTAAAAAAAAAAAAAAACACTGTATTCAATAAATATCCAATTAAAGGTCCAGCATTTTCTCTTTTTGTTTGTTTGTTTTTCTTCAAAGGAATGCATATCGTCCAATGTCTTTCATGTCAGAGTTTTAGACAAAGACAAAAAAGGGATAGGGTTTAAACTATTTCAGTCAAACCTTGTAAATGATATAAGTCACAATCTCATTTAATTTTGCAAAATCTTGTGAGATCTGTTAGTGCTCAGAGTATGTCCTGAAGATATACTATGTTATGAATATTGTGCTGTCTGCCCAGCCCGATCCCTGTTTTGGTTGTTTTATTTCCTTGCCACAGTTATTTCTCTTGTTTTCTCCCCATGCCTAAGTTCACAGTCACCACTCTGCTCCTGTCCCAGCAGCTCCAATTAGATCCATCGCTCCCCCTCCCTCACTAATTTCATGCATAATTGTACAGGAGTTTATAAAACTCGCATGCACACATAAAAACAACAGAACATACTGGTTGATTTTGATCTGGTATTAAATACTGGTCGAAGGGGTCAGGCTATGGTTTAGTTTACAATTACACTTTGAGTCTTTCATTAAAATCCATCCATCTCAAGACARGTTTGCAAACAGACAAAAACAAAAACTTACATGCACAACCCTGGTAGCACACTCATCCCATGCCACAGTCAGCTGAACATGGGTGGCATTTTCTCCATTGACCCCACATCCCAGTACTCCCAGGTACAGAGCGCTTTCCTGGATGTTTGAGTTTAAAAGGAAAGCTTTGGCAAGAGTCACAGTGATGGCAGCGACTCTGCACTGGACGGAGATGGGTCCTGGCTCAGAGGCGTTAATGGATGCTCTCAGGGAAGAAGAGGTGCTTGTTAAGGTTGTAAAAGATGTTAGGGTGCTTGGAGTGGATAATGTTGTTGGAGCAGGGAGAGAGGTTGAACTTGTGTTATTAGTGATTGTGTAAGATGTGAGGGTTGTTGTGGGTGCAGTGGTTGTTGGGGCAGTAATGCTTAAGGTCGAAGGGGTAGTTTGTGTTGCCAGTGAAGGAGGGGTGGCTTGAGCAAAAGCTGAGGTTGAATCAGTGGAAGTTGTTGTTTGAGAGTCTGAAACAGAAAACACTGATGTTGAATCCAGTGTAACATTTGCTGCAAGTAACACAATATATTGGAAAACAACTAATATCAACCAGTAGTATGTGCGAATGTTACTGCTGTGATGTGAGACTCCACCTTGACAGGTTCGCCCGGGTCTTTCTGGATTGTAGTCTGTAAAGCCATCAAAGCAGGCACATGTGTAGGAGGCCCAGGTGTTGGTGCATGTCGCCCACTGAGAACAGTCATTTTCTTCTGAAGCACATTCATCAAAATCTGTTTAAAAATGCAAATATGTTTTTGATTCAGTCTTTCAGGTTATTTATTTTTAAAGGGTGTTCATGCATTAGCACTAGAGCAAATGCAGAGTCAGAATTCACAATTATTGGTTTCCTGTTTGTAGCTCCTATCATACTTTTGTTGCAATCAAACTATTTCTGCAAACTTGGTGCTGTTTTACATATTCATATTTTAAAATGTTTGGCTCAGTTAAAAATAGAATATAGAATACTACAACTTGGTTTTTGCCACCTTATTATTTTTTATATATTACAGGTGGGGTGTTGTGAATTTTCCAGGCACATAGTTCAATTCTATACCACAGTAAAGTAACTGTTATCATCCTTGAAACAAAGAATTGATTTGTGTTTTTGTTCTGTGTTAGATTTTTTGTGCCTTGCTTATTGCAATAAAAAGAACTCAGACAACCTTTCTACAGAGTGCCTTTAGTCTTTGAGTAAAGTATRTCTTGTTAAATAAATAGTTTAAACATGAATATTTAAATATTTCTGCAACACCACTGTTTCCAGAGTCCACCAAGTCCTCAGAATCCTGTTTCCTAAGCCCACAAAGTCCTCCATGTCCTGAGAATCTTTGTTGTCGCCCGAGTCTCCCAAGTCTTTGGGGTCAGCTGGGACTTTTGAGTCTCCAGAGGCCTCCAAGCCTTCAGGCCCTAATTTCCTTCCAGATCCAGTCTCAGCAATAGTCTCTCTCCAGTGATGCAAGCAGCAACATTTTCAGTGCCAGCTTTAAGTAAGTTGCTGCCATGTCAGCATTTTTGTTTTGCTTAAAATACTTTTTTTTTTGTTATTACTCTGACCTCTTGGTGTCAGTCTGCATTCTGAGTTTAGACCTCCTAGAAACCATGATGGAAATCATTGTGTGTCCATCCTCTGATTTGTACCTTTTACTAATCTTTTCTCTGAATTGAATTAGGACAGTCAGTTTAAAGGGAGTGAATTGTTTTACAGTCACTTGATTTACATCACATACTTCTTTTAGTTTTGGGATTAATAATTTGTGATCATTTGATTTTACTTAAAGATTCAATTAAGGTTTTTTTGTTCATTTTTTTATTTTTTTGTTTGTTCTTGTAAAGAAGGCTGATTTATTTTGACTATGATTGATTTATGACAGCAATCAAAGCATAAAACATGTTTTTTTTAAAGATGAAGTAATATTTAGCAGAAATGTTTGACCACAGTGTTAAGTGAAAATCTTTGAGTGAGACTTGTTTTATGTTTGTTGGTTGTTTTTAAGATTCCATGTTATTTTGAAGGTTATAAAACATAATCAAGACTTTACATGCTTTTATTCTGTTTTGGAAAACATTAACTTTTGTGGGAAATTGAAATCTACGAAGTCGTTTTTTGTCAAAAATGAAATGACAAACAAACCAAAACTATAGTTAAAATAAACTGTCAGCTGATTTGCTCAAATTTGTTCTTTTTGAATTACATGTGTTGCTTTTATAAGAACAAAAACTAAAAAGAAACCTACCATTGACGCTTGTATTGTTGGTATCCACTGTGTACTTGGAGCTGTTCTCCAGGGAATCCACCAGAGCCGAGGAAACATTATTTACAGTTTGGTTTTGACTTTGGCTGAAGATGATAGTGAAATGTACCACCACACTGCCCAATGAAAACCCTCTGATCTCGATCCTGACTTGACCTGAATCCACCAGAGTCTTGACCTCTGGAGACAGAGACCTGTAAATCTGTTGGTGACAATGGAACAATGCCAAGGAGCAGATTTACTACAGGGTTTTGACATTTGCAAGAGTCAGTTTTGGTGTAAGTATGTGACTGCCTGTATGTGGTTAAGTTTGTGTCTGCAAGGCATGGATGGACACAGTTATCTTTGTGCCTGGCCCTGTTGCACATGTATTTTTAGAACGTTCCAATGCATCTGCACACTAAAATGAGCTCAAGTGCCTGGAGTAATAAATGCTGTAAGCATTAAAATGCCCTTTTGCCCCTTTATTTTTAGTTTTTGTCACAATATTTGATTTGCTTTTCCTTCTGCATCTTTACCAAAATGCACGTTTGATCAGAAACGGTGAAGTATGACTTTTTGTAGAAGTACATCATAATAGTTCATGGACTAGGATGGCTCACCGTGCAACCC